CAGAATTGATTATAGGAATTTTAGAAGACCATTGGTCAATTACTAAAACATAACTAGCTACTTAAAACTACGTAATCACGTTTTAGCAGAAGATTTTGTAATAAAAATTAGCTTACAAACCTTGGAACGCTTGTTTAAAGGACCGTGCTCTTCTTCAAGAAAATCCTCGACGATCTCTAACTTCACCGGAAACTTCGACGCCGGTTTAAACTCCGGTTTGAGATTCCACGACTTCATCATTTCCACCATCCAAAAGCGAACGACCCAATTCACAAGATCGATCAAAACCTAAGAATTATATATCTAAAAAATCAGTAGACCCTTGTAAATAAAAAATAAGAGTAACGAATTCTGATTTTGAATATCTGAAAAAACGTGAAAAAGGACGCGAGGATTCTCTCGCGATTGAAGAGTCAGGTGCTCGTTCTGTTGTTTAAAAAAAAATAAAAAAATCGAGTTTCTAGAAATTACTTAAATTAGTCCATTGTCTTGTCTTTACTTGGGGAGACTATTTTTGTCATTTATTTTATTATTGCTTTTGGAAATAGTATTTGGTTGATTAATTGCTGTTGTTATGGATATATTGAGAGATGAATCCGTATTTTGCTTTTTATATGACGGCTATAGATAGAGGATTTGCCACGAGTCGCATGTTCTAGAAGTAGCTTTTCTATCTTATTTATTTCTTCTTCTTTGGCTTTGGTCTGCTTTTGTTGTCACGTATGATTCCTAACAATTTGTCACGACCGTGTCCCAAGAATGTTTAAAAACAAAAATTTGCGTGGAAATGTTTTTGGACATAGAAGAGAAATTGGGTTAAGAAAAAAGCCTACTAAAATGTTATGTTGGATAAAGCCCGTGAAATGATTTATCTAATCCAACCCCCTAAGCCCAAACTCATGCTAATCATGCTAAAACCCTAAGCTAATGACTCTAGCTAATTACCTACGACATTTGCCGTCAATCAAAGGAAGTCAGAGAGAGTTGTGGTCGGTAGTGACAGCGAGAAGTAAAAATTAAGTAAAGAAAATCT